ACAAGTTTGCAGTATTGCCGCATGCCTGTAAAAGCAGTTTTTATTTTTTTAAGCTATATTTTTTTCAATTGTCTACAAAACAAACCACTGTTATATAATAACTTGCCTAATTACCCTAACCTGCCTAGTTAACCTAATTAACCTAGTTAAGCATTTAAATTCCCCTTTAAGCTGTATAGAAGTGTCTTGAAAAATATCTAGTCAAATATTACTTACTGTCATCATGGCAAAGATAAACAAAATAAGTTATTAGAAATGAGTTATTAAAACTATTATGTTTAGAAATGTGTTGAAAAAAATCTTCACTCTGTTAAACAGAAAATGGGGAAAAAAATAGGCAATAATTCAGGGGGGCTAATAATTCTGACTTCAACTGTATATATTTACATTTCATCTCCTTGAAAAAAATTGATGGCAGTCTGTCAGTTTTAGTTGAAGAGTTGCCAGATGTTGTTAAGAAAAGCAAATAAAGTTCCCTATATAATCTTCCCTGTCCTGTACCTTGGCACGAGTATACAAAAACATAATATAATATTATAAACAATACAATAAAAGAAATAAATCCCCCGCACACAAATAAAATAAGAAGTACAAACTGCCAAACAGAAACAACAATACAAATTTCCAAAAATATTCCCTAAAAATACTGTAAATTATCCCCTTCAAAAAATAAATGAAAAAATACAAGATTTCTGCCTGTCAAATTAAGTCAAAATTGAGTCAAATGAGTAGACAAAACCAGTTGTTGTACCAACACAAAACCTGCAAACATTTTTTTTTATTATTTAAAAGAAAACACATTGGGAAATATTCTGTTTTTTACACATAACTCAAATATGCAAAACAGTTTTATTAGTTGTCTCAAGCTTTATATAAACCAAAATAGTACCAAAACCTCAGATTTGGCAACATGGTGGAGAGGAGACAACCTCTATTTAAAAGCTCTTTCACTGCAAGCAACATGAATTTATTCAGAAATGTGATTTTAAAGCATTTTCATTCATAAAATGAGCATTTTATTTTTGAACATTTAATATTTACTACAATCTGGACTTCGTAGCCACTCAGGGAAGCTATTGTCACATCACCCCTCTGTCTCCAGCGTTAAACAAAGACATGTGACCCAATTGTTGAAAGAAATGGAACCCACTTCCATTTTTCCATCTAGAAAAGCTTTTTACGCCTAGTGAGAGCATTGATGAAACACTCATAGAATTTTTTTATGCTTAAAGAGTGGACTTTGAAGTTGCAATGCATTCACTGACATTCATTGTTTATTAGCATGTTTAATGGATGCAGACCTTTACATGTGACTAAACGGTCGGATGTTAGAGTCTATTCAACAGCAGAGTCAATAGATGATTACAGAATGGGCCTTTATGTCTCGTATCTCCATGGGAAACAAGCTAAAAGGCAGACGCTGTTATGCAGCACATTTATATACAATGCCAAGACTGAGATGTAAAATTATGAGTAGATTCGTTGTTTTGTTTTGGTTTAAGACCACTAATGAAATGCTTTTTGTGTCAGAGCAATAGCCTAGTAGTTAGCACGCTGACATATAGTGCAGTAGCACTTCAGGGCGACCCGAGTTCGAATATTTCCAGTACCTTGTTGAAGGATTAAGGCAGTTCTAGAGGCAAAAGGAATTCCAACTCGGTACTGGTTGGGTGTACCTAATAAAGTGACCCATGAGTGTATAAGATACATTTTTTTACATGCATTATTAATTATTATAATATAATTGTTTACATTTGGGGCGTGTATAAAAACAAAATCATTCATGATCATTTATATTATATATGTTTAATAATACAATATTAGTTTATATGATATTTTATATATTTATATAAAAATTGCTGGGAAATTAGGTGGTTTTATCATCTTAAATATGGAAACATTTCAAATAACTATTTCTGTTTACTAGTTGCAAATTGGACAGACTAACAATCCATATTTACTACTGGGAAACTCATATACAGTAATAAAAGTAAATTTAAAAAGTCTGTTTATTTGAAGATTTATAACAGGTCTGAATTTTTGATTGTCAGTGTGGTCTCTGATGTGGATTATTGTTCTTTTTATTTTTTTATTTGGACCAGTAATGGCTGAATTCAATCAGAAATGTAAGCTCAAACACTAATAGTTTTAAGTGATCTGCTTATTTTGATCGTATTATGGCTTAACTACATTTTCTTAATAGGGAGCATTAATCACTACATTTGTGTAGGTTGAGAGTTGAGCCTGATGAATTTATTCCATAATTGATTTGTTTTACATTTATTAACATTTGAGCATTTTCACAACAAATTCACAGAATAGTTTGGTAGCATGATTTAACTGAAGCATTAAAAAAGAGAAGGAAAAAAAGAAAATAAAAGAAAGGAAAAGGAAAGTTTTAAAGCTTCAAGGCAGGACACTATAGAGAGTTTTTTTTTTACAAGTACTGGTCCATTTTGGGTGTTTTTTAGCTGTTTGTCCTCACATAAAATGTGTAGAGAAATCATCCAAAATATGGTTTTAATAATTGAACATAATTCAGAACATTTTTATAGAGACGTTCATCCCAAGTTTTTCCACTGATACATTGTTTTATTCCTAAAAACAGGACACATTAGATCTTAGTTTTGGCAATATTTTCAAATGTATCTGCTATAAGGCAAGACAATAACCTGTCAACACTATAGCTGAGCATTTTCTTTTTAAAACTGAAGTATACCAATGGACAATCTCAAAACATCCTTTCATATAATTACAAACATGTGATTTAATCTTGGGCACAGAAACACCTGTAAGTATAGTAAATGTACAGTAAATAGTGATCAATTGTGTACACTTATTTCTAGAACCTTTTTTTTTTTTTTAATGAAGTGACTTAAGTTACAGAGTGCCTCATAAAACACTATTAACTTGTGATGTGGGGATGCTGGACAACAAAGTTGAGGATTCAGATGCAGTTTTATTAAGAGAATCGTTTATTAAGCAAGTGTTAAAACAGGAACAAACAGGTGTTTGCAGAGTAATCCAAAGCATGGTTGGTAAATAGGTGAATGTTCGGTACAGACGGCAAACTATGTTAACAAAAAAAACAAAGCAAAGGTCAAACACGGCAAGGCAAGGGAAACCCATCGTAATGTTCACAAGACAGTATAACAAGACTCAGCCCAGAAGTGTGTGTGTGTGCTGTGTAAATAATCCTAGTAATCAGTCCTTGACCAGCTCCCAGATCAAAAACTGTAATTTACATTTAAAGAGCATTCTGAAAGGTCATATTTTGTTTTTGGGTGTCTCCAAGAACAGGCTGATATGCATGCAAGGTCAAAAAACACTTTCATTGTTTATAATATGCATTTAGTTTCACCCAATAATCCAGCGACTCCTTTGTTCAACGATTAATTTGTTCCCAAATTACTCCTTAGGCAGAAGCTAATCTGTGTTGATTGGTCCAATGATGCAGTCTGTTGTGATTGGTTGATTGCGTTCAGCATGAGATGGAGAGAAATGCCCACCATGGCTATGTGTAACAGATGTGTAGCTACACTGCTAAGTAGCACAGAGTATGTGACAGCCCAATTCAGGAATGCAATAAAGCAATGCAGTTAAACACCAGCATATTACTCTACTCTTATCGCTAACCCCACGTAATAACAACGACACATTCAGTATTTTGCCACAGTGGCAAAAGTTGAACTAATTTGAAAATTGACCACATCGCACATGTGAGGAACATCTGATGCTGGCCATAGTAAAGACAAACAGCAGAGGATCGTGAGTTCAGAAACGCATTTAAATCAGTAAGGGAAGAAGCATCCGTTGCGCTTTTAACATAGTTTTAGACACAATGTGTGAACAGACCATTGAGATTTAACTTGAGAGATACAGTTCAGGCACTGATCTGTAATAAAGATATGATTACAAGCCGCATGGATCGATTACAACTTATAACACACAGTTAAACACATATTTTGCAAACTACACAAAATGAGGCAACAATTTTATTCTCACTTACATGTTATGATCCGGAGAATGAAGAAACTGGTCCATATGAACTGTAAGAGTTACTGACAAAGTCCCTGTCAAAGTCTGACAGTCCCAAACACACTGTAATAGCCTCTGCTGCTCCATTAATAACAAACGGCCAATGAGTCCCTCACTACAGCGTACTGTGGTGTTGTCATGAAAATTAACTTTATTCCCCACAACTGATTCTCCATCTGTCAGTGATCATCATCTTCGCGTCATGATCAGCCCAGTCATCCCCCACGCTCCGCTTGTGTCTGAATGGAAAGCGCGTTCACATTTTTACCGGATCTGGAACTACATATTGGGTGATATCCTATGTCAACGTCGACGCGTTCAAGCAAAAGATCCAAACCCAACACGATTCATTTATTTGACTCTGAGTTAACTGTTTCATTAAAGAATCAATAGTTTTAAACACAGTGCACTTTCACATTTAAACCTCAGCTGAATGTTTTCGTTTACTTAGTGCTGTTACACACAGCATAGAAGGTAATTAAAAAAAAAAAAAAACATAATAGGGGCGCTTTAATTGAAAAAAATAATAATAATCAAACATTGGGTTTGTCCATATTTGACCCAACATTAGATAAATATCACAATTTTTGGAGGGTAGCTTGATTCTGCAATGTGGGCAGGATGTACAGCTAAAGTCAGAATTATTAGCCCCCCTTTGTAGTTTTTTCCCCCTATTTCTGTTTATTAGAGAGGAAATTTTGTTTCAACTCATTTCTAAACATAATAGTTTGTTCTGTAGACAATTTGAAAACAAATGTATATTGCTTATGGGTGCTAGTAATATTAACTTAAATCCTTTCAGGCTCAAATTAAATTTTCGAAACAGGCAAAATCTATGCTTTTAAGTGTTGCAAATCAGCAACGCCTGCCTTGAGAGGGTTAAAATGTTTTTTACAAATTTAAAACTGCTTTTATTCTAGTAAAAAAAAAAACAAATATGGTTTTCTCTTGAAGAAAAAAAAAATTATCGGAATTACCGTGGAAAATACCTTGCTCGGTTTAACTTCTTCTGGGAAATATTTGAATAAGAGAAAACAAATCACAAGATGGCTAATTTGACTGCAACTGTAGGTGCATATATTTGAAACCTAAAAAACTATATTGCGGACCAGAACAAAAAAAAAAAATGCTCAAGAACAGTAAGAGCAATAGTGTAATAACTAAGCATCGTAGAATTGTTTTTACGCATGCACTTCTCTGGTCAAGGTTTACCAAGGGTATACACACATATCCACATTCCCAAACACTCGTTTACCTCCAGCAAACATGCATGCCGGCTGATATTGTCCTTATTTAGGATGTGGATTTTCCCAGTTGAGTATGTCACAAAGCCACAGGACAAAGGCCATACACACACACACACACACGCTCACGGAGGGAAGGGGGCAGGGCTAGATCACACTGTTCAGCCTGCTTCCGTTGCACACAGCAGCAGTCCAGCGAGAGAAAGAGAGAGAGTAAGAGAGAGAGATCGGTTCAGCCCACGAATCTGTGGCCCACTTTAAATATGAGTGGGGGGTTTACGGCAGCTCCTCTGTGAGACTGTGACAGTTGAAACAAGGAGGCCGGAGCGAGACGGGAGAGGCGGGGCGATTGTGTGTGTGTGTGTGTGTATGTGTGTGTATGAGCCGGCTGCGATCAGCTTGCGTGTGTCCGCTGTTCCCAGTGGCTCTAAGCGGCAGCAGAGGTAGCAAAATGGAGCTGTGAGCCGCTTCATCCTCATCCTCGTCTTCATCGCCAGGGGACCGGGGATCTTGACGGCATGCCTGGTGAGTATTCCATCCCTGACTCCCTGACAGGCGCGCGCTGTAGATCCAGATCTTAGTGTTACAGGAGCGCTGCATTGTGCTTGAATGGCATCTCATTACTGAGCTTCCATGCTGAAAGAATGAAAGAGGGCGAGAGAAGAGGGACGAGTCGCAGCTTTTGTGGGCATTATCAGGGCAGTAATCGATGGTAAACAGCACGCTGCTGCGGTCAGCGGGGATTGTGGCCGGTGACTGAGGTGTTGGGGTCCCTGTGAATGGATCAGGGCTTTTTAACTCCGCACAGCTTTCACCGCTCTGTCCTTTGTGTGGGAGCAGATGTACAGAAACACATGCTGGGTGATGAATATACACCGTGTCCTGTGGTCAGGTGGGTGGTGGGGGTCTTCATGAGCGTGTGCTTTTATTTAATGGCACTGTCAGGTTGTGTATTGATATAATGTGATACATTATTCCACCCTGTTACTGGGTGGCGACACGTGCTGTTTGACATCACACCATTCTCTGTGCTGGACGGGCGGATCTGATGATATGTTTGTGCAGATGCTGGGAGAGAATGTGGATTGTGTACATTTTTCCGATTTGGGTTCCTCTAAGAACCTTTCAGTGAACGCTTTCAAAATATGGGAACCATTTTATGTTTGTGTAGAGAACATATAACAGTATAAACAGCTGTTTTTCTGTATAAAAAGCTTTCTGTGTAGATGCCAACAAGGAATGTTGAGTGTTGTGTACATTTTTATATATTTAAATTAGGTGGATCTTTAGGTGTGTTATTTAGCGCAAGCAAGGTGTAAATCGTTGCTTGGGAAGCTCTTTGCTGATTTATTGCAGTATTAATGATAAGTAATCAATAATTTGCTTTGTAATATTGCACTGAGAGATTCATTGAGAATATACATCAGGTCTTGCAGTCAGGTGGACGCTGGAGGTCTTCATAAGTGTGTGCTTTTGTTGAATGGCACTGTCAGGTTGTGTATTGATGTGGTGAGATTTATTATTCCACCCTGTTACTGGGTGGCGACACGTGCTGTTTGACATCACACCATTCTCTGTGCTGGACGGACGGATCTGATGGTATCAGATGCTGGGAGAGAATGTGGATTGTGCACATTTTTCAGATTTTGATTCCCATAAGAATCTTTCAGTGAATAGTTTTAATATAAGGGAATCATTTTATGCTTGTTTTGGAGAATATTTAACAATCTAAACAGCGGTTTTTCTGTATAAAAAGCTTTCTGTGTAGATGCCAATAAAGAATACCCAGTGTTGTGTATATTTTTATATAATTAAATTTGGTGGATCTTGTGTGTTATTTAACGCAAGCAAGGTGTAAATGTTTGCTTGGGAAGCTCTTTGCTAATTTATTGCAGTATTAATGATAATTAATCAATAATTTGCTTAATATTATTGCACTGAGAGATTTATTAAGAATATACATCAGGTCGTGTAGTCAGGTGAACGCTGGAGGTATTTAAAAGTGTGTGTGTTTTTTTTTTAACAGCACTGTCTGGTTGTGTATTGATATAATGTGAAACATTATTCCACCCTGTTACTGGGTGGCGACACGTGCTGTTTGACATCACACCATTCTCTGTGCTGGACGGGCGAATCTGATGATATGTTTGTGCAGATGCTGGGAGAGAATGTGGATTGTGTACATTTTTCCGATTTTGGTTCTCTAAGAACCTTTCAGTGAATGGTTTCAAAAAAAGAGAACCATTTAATATTTGTGTGGAGAACATTTAACAATCTAAACAGCTGTTTTTCTGTATAAAAAGCTTTCTGTGTTGATGCCAATAAAGAAAACCCAGTGTTGTGTACATTATTATATATTTGAATTTGGTGGATCTTTAGGTGTGTTATTTAATTCAAGCAAGGTGTAAATGTTTGCTTGGGAAGCTCTTTGCTGATTTATTGCAGTATTAATGATAACTAATCAATAATTTGCTTTATATTAATCCACTGAGAGATTTATTAAGAATATACATCAGGTCTTGTAGTCAGGTGGATGCTGGAGGTCTTTATAAGTGTGTGTTTTTATTAAGCCGCACTGTCTGGTTGTGTATTATTATGATGTGATACATTATTCCACCCTGTTACTGGGTGGCGACACGTGCTGTTTGACATCACACCATTCTCTGTGTTGGACGGGCGGATCTGATGATATGTTTGTGCAGATGCTGGGAGAGAATATGGATTGTGTACATTTTTCCGATTTTGGTTCTCTAAGAACCTTTCAGTGAACTGTTTCAAAAAAAGAGAACCATTTTTTGTTTGTGTGGAGAACATTTAACAATCTAAACAGCTGTTTTTCTGTATAAAAAGCTTTCTGTGTTAATGCCAATAAAGAATACCCAGTGTTGTGTATATTTTTATATATTTAAATTTGGTGGATCTTTAGGTGTGTTATTTAGCGCAAGCAAGATGTAAATGTTTGCTTGGGAAGCTCTTTGCTGATTTATTGCAGTATTAATGATAAGTAATCAATAATTTGCTTTATATTATTGCACTGAGAGATTTATTAAGAATATACAGTGTGTCCTGCAGTCAGGTGTACGCTGGAGGTCTTCATGAGTGTGTGCTTTTAATGAACAGCAATGTCAGGTTGTGTATTGATATGATGAGATTTATTATTCCAAACATTTTTCTTATTTTCCTATAAAGAGCATTTTGTAGAATTATAGTTGCCAGTCATTGATACCAATTATAAAAATCCAGTGCTGTGTAGTTTTGTATTTTGGTGGATGTGTATGGGTATTTTTTAGCACAAAGAAAGTGTAAATATTTGCTTGAGAAGCTCTTTGGTGAATTAATGTAGTATTTATTATAAATAATAATTAATTTTGCTTTATATTATTATTGTTTAGACATTTATCAGGAACATACCCTGTGTCTTGCAGTCAGGTGGATGCTGGAGGTCTTCATGAGTGTGTGCTTTTATTGAATGGCACTGTCAGGTTGTGTATTGATATGATGAGAGACATTATTCCACCCTGTTACTGAGTGGAAACGTGTGCTGTTTGACATAACAAAATTTTCTGTGTTGAATGAGCGTTTATGATATGTTTGTACAGATGCTGCGCAATGTGAAATGTGTACATTTTTGTGCCGTTACTTCACAAAATCAAAAAAATTTGGTTCCCTCTTTAAAGTTAACAGTTCCTATTAGAACAACTTTGTGTGTATAATTTGTGGAATATGTTAATCATGCATAATGCTGTTGCTTCAAATGAAAGTTTATAATGCTTTGATTCTCCTCATACTGTAAGCTGTAAAAAATGCTGGGTTACACACAATCCCTTCATGTTGTCCCAATGCAAATCGTATAAGTTCTAGGTTCTATTACTACTACTCACAGTGCAGAGATTGAATTGGTGTCCCAGTACAAATATCTTGGAATTTTAATTGATCTTACAATTTCTTTTAGTTCTCACATTTACCAATTTGTTAAAAAAATATATATTAAAAGTGTTTTTTTAGGCTTAGAATTAAAAACTGGTTGATGCAACATTTATGTGGATATTGGACTACAGTGAAATTAGCATTTGCATGCTTCGTCTCAGAGTCTGCATGTATTGGATACTGTTTACCATTGTGCACTAAGATTTATAACTAATTTTATGTCCCTTACTTGTATACTAGGGTACATTGGTCTGCTTAATCCATTCGTAGGCTCAAACACTGGCATATCATTCATTTTCTTTTAGGCTTAGTCCCTTTATTAATCTGGTGTTGCCACAGCGGAATGAACCACCAACTTATTTAACAAATGTTTTACTCAGCGGATGTCCTTCCCGCTGCAACCCATCTCTGGGAAACATCCATTTACACTACGGACAATTTAGCCTACCCAATTCATCTGTTCCGCATGTCTTTGGACTGTGGGGGAAAACGGAGCACCCGGAGGAAGCCCATGCGAACGCAGGGAGAACATGCAAACTTCTCACAGAAACGCCAACTGACCCAGCCGAGGCTCAAACCAGCAACCTTCTTGCTGTGAGGCGACAGCACTACCTACTGCGCCACCATGTCACCCCACTGACATATCTTTGTTTACAAATCTATATAGGGTTTACTCCCATCATATCTCCAGAATTACATTTGTAATAAAACTGTCTTTAACTATGGCCTACAGTCTGATGCCATACTAAGCTGTGTACCAGGGTATTATGGGATGCTGAATAATTACATTGTTTGCTGAGCCTCCCAAATGTTTTTCTGATTAAAAAATGAGTGTTTTTGTACATGAGCTGACTTTTCATACATGTTAAGACGCTCTTTGGTTTAATGAGTATATTATATATTTACAGTATGCACTACCTGGCAAAAGCCTTGTTGTCAATCTCAGTTGTAAGAGCCCTAAATAGCTTGACTTCTAATTGATCATTTGGAAAAGTGGCGGAAGGTAGATTTTTCAGATGAATCATCTGTTGAACTGCATCCCAATCATCACAAATACTGCAGAAGACCTATTGGAACTTGCACGGACCTAATATTTTAATAGAAATCAGTCAAGTTTGGTGAAGGAAAAATCATGGTTTGGGGTCACAGGATATTTATTTACCGTCTCTTCCTAAAGTGCAGACTGAGATTGGGAAAAAAAGGCTTTTAAATACGCAGCACCTTTTGCATGGAATTATCTACAAACAAACTTGCAGTATAATTAATTGATTTTACTAAATGCTTTTAAATAGAGTATAAATGATTTAGAAATTGAAACATAGGCTTGTAGATGTTTTGAAAAGTTTGTTTGTCAATGTAAGATTTATGTTAATTATTAATGGTTATTTGTTTGTTGTCTGTTAGACCCATGTGACATGTATTCTGCCTAATCTTGGCCAGGATGCTCATGTAAAAGAGATTTTTAATCTCAATGTTTTTAATCTCAATATTTTCCTGGTAAAATAAAGGTTATAATAATAATAATAATAATAATAATAATGATGATGATGATAATAATAATAATAATAATAATAATAATAATAGTTAACTCAATGGTT